TCAGTCCCGGCTCCGAGCCCCGCGGAGATGCGGGAGGTCGATGTGTCTCCACCCTGATTACCTCGGGATAAACGGTTCCTTTTCCCTTGGGATTCCTGCTCTGCTGGGTGTGCAGGAAAGCTGGCCGTTCTCTTCCACAAAATCTTTCCGGGTTTCAGGGGTCATAGAATAGTCAGGGCTGGAGGTCGCTCAGTTCAGCCCAGGCAGGGGCACCTGGAGCAGGTGACACAGGAAGGTGACCGGGTGGGTTTGGGATGTCTCCAGAGCTCCAAGCCCTCCCTGTGCAGCTGTCCCCGGGCTCTGTCACCCTCCATGCAATGAAGTTCTTCCTCATGGTGAGGTGGAACTTCCTGTGTTTTAATTTATGTGCTGTTACTGGGCACCACCAAAAAGAGTCTGGCACCAACCTCTTGTATGGATTGATGGGATCCCCTCTCAGCCTTCCCTTCTCCAGCCTAACCAGGCTCCTCATACAAGACATGCTCCAGACCCCAAAGATGTTCTTTGTGCCTGTCACTGAACCCTCTCCAGCAGCTCCTTTTCTTGTGCTTGTGACCCCTCAGTGTGACAAGCACAGTTTAATTCTGCTCCGGGCCTGCTGGCTGCTGTTCCAAACCAGTGCATCCCAAATTTTGGCTGTGTTTGGGCTTTGCCTGAGCTCTGCCTGTGAGATGGTTGCAGCACTCTGGGAATGTTGGGTTGGAAGGGACCTTAAATCCCATCCAGTGCCACCCCTGTCATGGCAGGGGTGCTCCAAGCCCCAATGTCCAACATAATCTTGGATGCTTCCAGGGATGGGACAGCCAGAGCTGCTCTGGTGCTTCCACCATCCAGATTTATTTGATTCCTCAGTGTCTCTGTAATTCCAGCATGTTGTGTCTCCTCCAGGCCAGCATCAGATCAGAGCCTCAGTGGGCAGTGCTGCCCCAAAGAACCCCCATTATTTTGGGGACAGTAACTATGTGGTGGGAGCAGCTGTGGAATTCCCAGTCCCAGGGATGTAGAAAGCAGCAGGGTTGTGCGGAGCAGAGAAATGACAACAAATCTGCATTTTTGCACTTATTCCTGCACAATTTTGTATTTCTGAGCTGCGAGGAGCTCGCTGTGGGTCAGTGGGGTAGGGATAACATTTCTTCTGTGCTCATCCTGCAGCCAACTCCGGTTATCCTGCTCAAGGAGGGCACGGACACCTCGCAGGGCATTCCCCAGCTGGTCAGCAACATCAACGCGTGCCAGGTGATCGCCGAGGCCGTGCGCACCACGCTGGGCCCGCGCGGCATGGACAAGCTCATCGTGGATGATCGGGGTAGGGGCTGCATTCTCATTTATTCCCGTGTGGATTTACCTCATTACAGTCACTAATTAAACCCAACAATGGCTCAGATGTAAATTCCAGCAGCCTCAGCCTGTGCTGAGATGGTTCTGTCTCAGTGTCAGTTGAACATGGACAAGCTCATCGTGGATGATCGGGGTAGGGGCTGCATTCTCATTTATTCCTGTATGGATTTACCTCATTACAGTCACCAATTAAACACAGCATTGGCACAGAGGTAAATTACAGCAGCCTCAGCCTGTGCTGAGCTTGGCTCTCACAACTGAGATGGTTCTGTCTTGGTCTCAGTTGGACACCTTGGTGTCCCCTGCAGGATAAAGGACAATTGATGTCCCCTGTAGAATAGATGACAATTGGTGTACCCTATAGAGTAAAGGACAGTTGGTGTCTCCTATAGAATAAATGACAATTGGTGTCCCTTGTAGAATAAAGGACAGTTGATGTCCCCTATAGAGTAAAGGACAGTTGCCAGTCCAGGCTGAGGGTTCCCTGTTTGCTCTCCAGGGCCATTGGGGAGATGCAGAGTCAGTGGGGTTGGGTGTGTCCAGTGTAGGTCCAGACAGGAGAAACAGAGAGTCTTGAACCTGTCTGCAGATGCTTTTGGTCATCACTGTTTTTAAATGAGGCTCATGATACCTGTGGAGTTCCTCAGCAGGCGTGGCTGAGTGTGAGGTCACTGGATGTTCCTGGGTTCATTTTTAATCTTTTTTTTTTTTTTTTTATTTAGAGATGGGCTTTGCCCTCACTCTGAAAACACTTGTAAGAAGTCACCAAATTAATTATTCATTATTTTTGTTACTGAAGGGTGGAGTGAAAAGGCTTAGTATTGTCTTTAAATAGTTTTTACAAATAGGAACTGTAATAAAATTCTTGTTCAAAAGGATAATTGGATTTTAATTTATCTAATAAGTAATAATGATTTGTAGGCTCTTTTTTCATGAGAGTCTCAGACTAGAACATGTTTTATCTGTTGGGGAAGGCTGTTGAGAAGAGGGACATGAATTCCAAACCTTTGTTGGTGTGGAAAGTTGTTCTGTTCCCAGATGGACTTCACTGAAGCTGCTCCACATTTGGGCTGAAAAGACTCAGCTGTGGTGGGGCAGAGGAACCTGCTGAGATCTCCTGAGGGCCCCCAGAGACAGGGAGGTGTTCTAAGCTGCCTTTAATTTCCTTTTCTCCATGAACCCCAGGCAAAGCCACCATCTCCAACGACGGGGCCACCATCCTGAAGCTGCTGGACGTCGTCCATCCAGCTGCCAAGACCTTGGTGGACATTGCCAAGTCCCAGGATGCAGAGGTGGGAGGGGAGCCTGGGCTGTGCCTGGCAGTGCCAGAGCTGCCCTGGGCTCTGGGAACTGCTGGGAATTGATCTTGGAGTGCTGGGAGTTCTTCTTCCTGCTCTGGAGGCAGCCTGGGAGAGCTGGGAATGTTCCCTTGGAGAAGGGAAAATTCCAGGGAATGCTCAGAGTCCCTGCAGGGGCTCCAGGAGAGCTGGAATTGGGGACAAGGCCTGGAGGGACAGGACCCAGGGAATGGCTCCCACTGGGAAAGGGGAGATTGGGCTGGGATCTTGGGAAGGAATTCCTGCCTGGGCTGCAATTCCCAGATTTGCTGGGGCTGCCCCTGGATCCCTGGCAGTGCCCAAGGCCAGGTTGGATCCCCCTGGGACAGTTGAGGTGTCCCTGCCATGGATGGGTGTGAAGTCCCTTCCTATCCAGACCAGTCTGAATCACTGAGGGATTCAGCAAAAAATCTGAGAGCAGAGAAAATCCTGAGCTCTGTTTTCCCTGGAAGCTCTGGAGTGGTTTTGCAGCATGGGGGGTGGCACAGTGTGGGGCTGACCCAGTGTCCCCTGTCCCTGCAGGTGGGTGATGGCACCACGTCTGTGACCCTGCTGGCTGCTGAGTTCCTGAAGCAGGTGAAGCCCTACGTGGAGGAGGGGCTCCACCCCCAGATCATCATCCGGGCTTTCCGCACGGCCACGCAGCTGGTGAGGCACGGGGGGGACAGGGACACTGCCAGGGACACTTGGGAATGGCTGTGAGGAGTGCCAGCAGGGATCTCCTGTGCCCCTGTCACCAGCAGGGATCTCCTGCTGTCCCCTGTCCCCAGCAGGGATCTCCTGTGTCCCTGTCACCTGCAGGGATCTCCTGTGTCCCTGTCACCAGCAGGGATCTCCTGTGTCCCTGTCCCCAGCAGGGATCTCCTGCTGTCCCCTGTCACCTGCAGGGATCTCCTGCTGTCCCCTGTCACCAACAGGGATCTCCTGCTGTCCCCTGTCCCCAGCAGGGATCTCCTGCTGTCCCCTGTCACCTGCAGGGATCTCCTGCTGTCCCCTGTCACCTGCAGGGATCTCCTGCTGTCCCCTGTCACCAACAGGGATCTTCTGCTGCCCCTGTCCCCAGCAGGGATCTCCTGTGTCCCTGTCCCCAGCAGGGATCTCCTGTGTCCCTGTCCCCAGCAGGGATCTCCTGCTGTCCCCTGTCACCTGCAGGGATCTCCTGCTGTCCCTGTCCCCAGCAGTGTCTCCCCTGCTGTCCCTGTCCCCAGCAGGGATCTCCTGCCAGTTCCTGCTGCTGCCAGTCTGTGCCTCTGCAATGCTGTCCCTTCCTTTGGGGTTTTTCCCAAGGAAACAGGAATTTCCCATTCTCCTGTTCTCTGCTGTATCTTAGCAGACCGTGTGTCTCCTGGAGCCTGTTGGTCCCATTAAGGTGATTTTTTTGGAGGTTCACTCCTTTGATTGCCAGGATCTCTGCTGAGAGCAGAAAGAGCAGAGCAGCTCTGAGCCCCCTCCCACTGCTCATTTATTGGTGTATTCCTTGGAATTACTGCACTGGAAGGGGTGGAGTAACTTAAACACCTGAAACTTCAGTGACGTTGAAGCAGAGAACAAAAGATAAAATACAAAGAGAGAGGCTGGAGATGTCACCAGCTCAGGAGCATAAATCATTAATCCACTGTTGCCTTTTTGCCAGGCTGTGAACAAGATCAAAGACATTGCTGTGTCTGTGAAGAAGGAGGATAAAGAGTAAGTTTCCCTTGGAGGTGACCTGGTTTTGTTCTGGGCTCCACCTAACTGCTGTGAGGCTGCTCCTGAATTCTGTGCTGAGGAGCTGCAGCCCCACACTGGGGTTATTCCCAATTTCCCTGGAATTTCCTGCTCCTCCAGGCTGCTCTCATTTGGCTGTAGGGGATGATGTGGGGCAGTGTCTCCCAGTGCTCATGGAGGAAGTTGGGCACCAAAATAAGTGACCTGATTTCATTTTCCTTGGAGCTGTTTCTACAGTCAGTGCAGTGAGAAATCTCAGCCTTTCCCTGGGGATCAGATCCCTTTTTAGCTGCCATACACCAGGGTAGAGAGATCACAGCAGTGATCCCTTCACCTTAGAACACTGGAATTCATTTTCTCTCTGGATTTTTAAGTGACTTTGCTCATACCTGCAGTTAATTTGAAGCATTTCAACTTCATAAATATCTTGGATAAACCAAAATAGGTTGTCCAAACCAAATGCTGGGAAAAAACCCCAAATGTGGTCCTGTGATGGGAAACAGAGTGGATCCACATGTCCCTGGTGTCTGTGTCACCCACTCTGCTGCACATTTATTACCTGAGTTAGTATTTCAGGGAACCTGCTGCCTTTAGAGGGTTTCAGAAACATCTTCCTGCCTTGGGATGAAGGAAAGCACCTGCTCTTTTCTGATTTTAGGTGCATAAAAGCTGATCAGCCTTGTCAGTGCTGGGCTGGTGCTCGAGCTCTGAAAAGGAGCCTGGGATTTGTCAGTCTGGGATTTGTCAGTCTGGGATTTGTCAGTCTGGGATTTGTCAGTCTGGGATTTGTCAGTCTGGGATTTGTGTCTTGTTCTCCCCACTGACAGGAGGGAGTGGAGCTTTGCCTCTATTAGAGAGGATTTTGGGCCCCTCAAGACAGACCCTGAGGGGCTGGAGAGTGTCCAGGGAAGGGAACAGAGCTGGGAAGGGGCTGGAGAATTCCTGAGGGGGCTGGGAAGGGGCTCAGCCTGGAGAAAAGGAGGCTCAGGGGGGACCTTGTGGCTCTGCACAACTCCCTGACAGGAGGGGACAGCCGGGGGGGATTTGGGATCTGGGAACAGGGACAGGAGGAGAGGGAACGGCCTCAGGGGAGGCTCAGGGTGGAAATTAAGGAAATTCCTTCCTGGAAAAAGCTGTGATGGAGTCTCAGACCCTGAAGGGATTTCAAATCCCTGTGGATGTGGCACTTGGGGACATGGGGCAGTGCTGGGCTGAATGGTCTCAAAGGTATTTTCCAGCCTAAATCTGTAATTAATGAAACCACATGAAGTGTTTAGGGCTTGTGAAAAGATCTGTCAGGTGAGCAAACCTTTGTTTTTCCTTTCCTGCAGTGAGCAGAGGAGTCTCCTGGAAAAGTGTGCAGCCACAGCCCTGAGCTCCAAGCTCATCTCCCAGAGCAAGGAGTTTTTCTCCAAGATGGTTGTAGATGCTGTGATGATGTTGGATGATTTGTTACAGCTCAAGATGATTGGGATAAAGAAGGTGCAAGGAGGAGCTTTGGAAGTAAGAGCTGGAGCTTTCCTGAAGGGATGGGAGACAGGGATCCCAGCTCTGGTATTAGCTGGGCTCTAGCCAAGTGCAGCCTGGCTTACCAGTGCCTGTTGGGGAATTCCCAAAGTGGAACAAAACTCTTAGAGTGAGGAGGAAGCTTGGCACATAGGGCTGGTTTCTTTCCCATAGGTAGAGTTCCTGGTTGTTTTTTTTTCACCTCACTGCAGCAAAAATTGTTACTGTTAAAATTCCATTTCTCTCTTCACAAATAAGTTGATTGTGTTGGGTTTGTTTGTTTGTTTTTTTGTGGTTTCTTTTTTTGTTGTGTTTTTTTTTTTTTTTGTGGGAAGTTTTTTTACTTCTGGATCCAGAAGTCCTGGTTGTATATGGCATTACTGGGTTGGGAAAAATGCAAGGAAAACCTCGTGAAGCTGATGTAGTGATGGGCAAGGCAGCTGGGATGTGTGGTGGAACTTGGAAAGACAAACCAGAGCAAAAACCAGCCCCCAGTGGGGCTGTGGATGAGAAATATCTCCAAAAGTTCAAAGGGGAGGAATGGGAAAGAGAAAAGTGATTGATTGCTCTGTTCCTTTATCTTCAGGTTGTGTGAGGAGTTTTTGGCTGCTGAGCTCTGAGGGATAGAGAGGAAGCTGCTTTTGTGAGCTGAGAGAAATCCTTGCAGCTCATTTCCTCTAAAAGTGGGTTAATCACAGGAGACAGTGCTGGCAAGGCTCTGTAAATGAGGCTCTGGATCAGGGAGTGTCCTGTGGGAGTTGTTCTTAACCCTTTGCAGAAAACCTCGGGGTTTTTTTCTGAGCCTGAATCAAATCTCTGTGTTACAGGACTCACAGCTCGTGGCTGGAGTTGCCTTTAAGAAAACTTTCTCCTATGCTGGGTTTGAGATGCAGCCCAAGAAATACCAGTCCCCCAAAATTGCCCTGCTCAACGTGGAGCTGGAGCTCAAAGCTGAGAAGGACAACGCTGAGGTCAGAGTGAACACAGTGGAGGTGAGAGCACAGGGCTGGTTCACACCTGGGGCCAGCAGCCCAGCTAAGGGTGAGATGGGAGGGCTGGGAATGTTCCCCTGGAGAAGGGAAGATTGCAGGGAATGCTCAGAGTCCCTGCAGGGGCTCCAGGAGAGCTGGAATTGGGGACAAGGCCTGGAGGGACAGGACCCAGGGAATGGCTCCCACTGGGAAAGGGGAGATTGGGCTGGGATCTTGGGAAGGAATTCCTGCCTGGGCTGCAATTCCCAGATTTGCTGGGGCTGCCCCTGGATCCCTGGCAGTGCCCAAGGCCAGGTTGGATCCCCCTGGGACACTTGAGGTGTCCCTGCCCTGCACTGGATGACCTTTAAAAGGTCCCTTCCCACCCAAACCATGAGAAATGAGTTTGTGCCCATCCCTCACCTGTGGGAACACCTGGTGGGTTGTGCTGCCCTGGGGAGTCACAGCAGGTTCAGGCCACGTTTGGGAGCTGTCCCTGTGCCCCAGCTGTGCTGAGCCACAGCTCTGTGCTCATGGCCTTAGGCCTGGGGAGTGGCCTTGCAGGGACAGCCTAAGAGCTGCTCAGGTTCCAGCAGCCAGGTGGGCGGTGCCAGAGAACAGGGCCCCTCCTGACTGGAATGATGCACCTGGGACATTCCTGTCACAGGAACACCCATCCCTCTCTGTCCTGCCAGGATTACCAGGCCATCGTGGATGCAGAGTGGAACATCCTCTATGACAAACTGGACAAAATCCACAAGTCAGGAGCCAAGGTGGTCCTGTCCAAGCTCCCCATTGGGGACGTGGCCACCCAGTACTTTGCAGACAGGGACATGTTCTGTGCTGGCCGTGTCCCAGAGGAGGATCTCAAGAGGACCATGATGGTGAGCTCCCCTGGTTTGGAGGAAATCCCAGGCTGGGCATTCCCAAACAGCTGCTCTCTGCTCCTTCCAAGGGTTTGAAAGGACCAGGCTGTTCCTTGGTGGGATGAGCAGTCACACACTGACAGTGTGGTGTTTTATCAGGAGAGGTTTATTTTCCTGAGTTCTCCCCTGGTCCATCATGAGTGGCTTTTTTTTTTCCTGAGCTTTCTTTGTGTATCTCCTGAACTCTGGATCCTGTGTGTCAGCACCTTGAAGCTGCATGAACTTATTTTGCTGTCGAGGGTTGGCCTGGGTCCATAAAAGGGGAGGGAGGGAGGGAGAAGAGTTTTCCTGAATCTGCAGGATGAGTTTGCACCAACTCAAAGCTGGGCTGTCCCTGGAGAGTGGAGCCTGCTGGGAGGTTGGTGTGGACTGGCAGCACTGGTAATTCCATGTTTGTCTCCATTCCCTGCAGGCCTGTGGGGGATCCATCCAGACCAGTGTCAATGCCTTGTCAGATGATGTGCTGGGTCGCTGTGAGCTCTTTGAGGAGACCCAGATTGGGGGAGAGAGGTAAAAACAGCAGCTGCAAACCTGTGGTGCTGTGCAAGCCTTCTCATGGCAGGTGGAAAAGTCGGGCTCAAAGCATTGGCAGGGTCAGCATCTCTCAAGCTGTTGAGATGAAAACAAAGTTGTTATAAAATAGATATTTTATTGTAGCCTAAAGCTGCTTTTTGAGGCTGAGGGAGGGGGCAGGTGCAGGATTTCATTGAGATCCCTCTTGTAAATGCTTTTAAAAACACACATTTATTCTGCAGTGCCTTGTAGAAAGCACAGTGGTACTGTAATGGAAAACCACGGTATTTTGGGCTTGATTGTGGCACTTCTGTGATGTCCCAGCTTGACACTTCCCTGTCAGTGGGGACAATACCCTGGGGTCCTTCCTGTTACTGGGGGCTGTGCTCCTGCCAAACTGGGATCACCAGCTCAGTGTTGAATCCCCGGAGAGAACGGATTTCCCTGGAATTTCCCTTCTGCGTTCCCTGACTCTGCTGCTCCTCAGCATCTGCTGTGAGGAGCACAGGGCTGGCTCTGATGCCACCCTGGCTGGCCAGCAGCAGCCTGTGTCCCCTGTTGCAGGTACAATTTGTTCACGGGCTGCCCCAAGGCCAAGACGTGCACCATCATCCTGCGCGGGGGCGCCGAGCAGTTCATGGAGGAGACGGAGCGCTCGCTGCACGATGCCATCATGATCGTCAGGAGAGCCATCAAGGTGAGCCCTCAGTCCTGCTTCACTCAGCTCTTTATCCATCATTCCAGACCACATCAGCTCCTTATCCATCATTCCAGACCACATCAGCTCCTTAGCACTGATTCCAGCTCACATCAATTCTTTATCAATGATTCCAGCTCACATCAGCTCCTTAGCAGTGATTCCATCTCAGATCAGCTCTTTATCAGTGATTCCAGCACAGATCAATTCTTTATCAATGATTCCAGCTCACATCAATTCTTTATCAGAGATTCCAGCTCAGTGATTTCAGCTCTGCTTGTGAGGCCATCCCAGCCCGACTCAGGGACAGAGATACAGAAGTGTTGTATGGCAAATTCCACGGAGATTCCTTTATTATCCTTTATTATCCCCCTTTATCTGTGCAGGGGGGCAGGGATGACAGCCCCCTGCTGAACTGGTCAGAAGCTGGGGGTTTTATAGGGGAGGGCAAGGGTGTTTTCCCCCATAAAGAAAGGGGGAAAGACCAGTGGGTTACAGAGGATGACCATGGGCACTGAGGCACGGTGGGGTAACTGGAAGATCTTGGCATAGCAGCGTGATGGGGGAGGAGGATGTGCCCACCTGAGGGACATCTCTCTCTGCAGGACAGGTGAGATCAGCAAATCACAGCCCATCGCAGGGCAGAGCCAGGCCAGGTTTATCTGCCTCCACAAAGCTGACAGAGCCCTCCCTGCCCTGTGTGTCCCTGCAGAACGACTCGGTGGTGGCAGGGGGTGGAGCCATCGAGATGGAGCTGTCCAAGTACCTGCGGGACTACTCCCGGACCATCCCGGGCAAGCAGCAGCTGCTGATCGGTGCCTACGCCAAGGCCCTGGAGATCATCCCGCGGCAGCTCTGTGACAACGCCGGCTTCGATGCCACCAACATCCTCAACAAACTGAGAGCCAAGCATGCCCAGGTAAGGCTGGGGTCTCAAACTGTGCCTGGGGAAATGGAGGTTGGGTGTTAGCCCAGGGCAGGGGGCACGGGCTCAAACTGTGCCTGGGGTGATGGAGTTTGGATATTAGAAGTTTTTCATGGAAAGAATAATAAAGTATTGGAATGCTTTGCCTGGGGAGGTGGTGGAGTCACCATCTGTAAAAGCCAAAATGAGGGATGGGGAACTCCAGGTGGCTCTTGAAATGCTGTTTATTGTGTTCAGATGATACAGCAATTTCTTTATTATTTGAAATCCTGTTTATTGTATTTAAATGATTCAGCAATTCACAGGTTGTGGGTGACAGAGCCCAGCCCTGTCACCTCAGCTGGGGGTTTGTTGAAGCCCCTCTAGTTCTGGTTACAGTGCATTATAAACTTTTATTTTAATACATGACAACCAATCAATTCCTTCACTATCACCTACAGCCCATCATAACTGCTGACATTTCATATCCATGGCACTATTTTCCAATCACAAAAGGTTAATATGTTACAGTTTAAGCTAGAAGTTGTTTTTCAGTTCTCTTGCAGTGGAAATTTTTGAGATCTTTTCTCTACTTGCAACATTGGCATTTTTGTTTGCCTGTGAAAATCTTTTTGCTTGGTAAAAACATCTTTTGTGTGAGGTGGTTTATCCTTTGCTCTGAGCTATAAAAGCCCCTTCCAACTCACTTGTTCTTTGCCTTCTAGTTACCCACTAAGCCTGGCTCAGCAATTATTTTCTTCTAGATCAAAACTTGCCATCATTTCTATTCCTTCTTCAGCTTCTGCATTCAGAGAT